TTCACAGTACCAGATGATGGGTAAAGTCCAAAAAACCTGGTAATCACCAGTGTTACACACCATAATCAGAACACTTTAGACTCTCAGATATACAAATTCCTATCCGCAGCATACCATATTAGAGAAAGACAGACTTCACTCACCACTCCTGAAAGTATCTCATTGAAATATCTCTGACCTGCTGACTTTGTTATGCCACGATCAGGTTCTGGAAAATACAAATGAAAGTTTGCTTACTTTTTGTAAATAGCAAAGTGCTATCTTATACACTCACTACGTGCTACAAGAAAGGCAGACTAACTACAATTACTAAGAATTACAAATGCAGTGGGGGGGAGATTACACCAGCATTCCTTGAACACCTTGAGGCCTGCAAGTCACAGCATTCAAAACTTTTGACCCAAAATTGTTTCTTAAATCAATCATGTCTGTCAAATCTTGCTAATGAGGTATGTTGCATATGATGTACACAACATCCTTTACTTCCGACAAAGAAATGTTAATTCTGGAATGCCTCCACAGATGTCAGAAATCCCATGGCTACAAAAAAGCAATAAAACTAAACATGCGTGCCATCTATACTTGCCTGATATTCAGAAGAGCAACTCTGCGATGCACACGGACAAGTGTCAGTAAAATTGCACTGGTATAATGCTGCGTATCATCCGTGCCAGCAATAACAGCAAAACCAAATATATCAACTGTTCAACTAGCCAGTTAAAATACTGACAGTTCTATCAATCCCCATATTATTTTTTATAACTCTTGAAGACTACTGCACCTTCCATTTCTTTCCCATGTCCTGTGAAAGTAGACAAGAGTGCAGCCTAACAAACTTTTCAGTGAAACATTTTACTCCTAATTATCCGTGGGAATGGAAGGGAAAGGGCACGCAAACAACAATAAACACAAACAACCAAAGGATTCCTCTAAATCTGGAAATGGATACACAAGCAGCCCAATGGAAAATTCTTAAAATTTATAGAAAAGGCAAACTGAACGCTGAGCATGTTTAATCAAAACATTTTCCGTCCAAAAAATATTTCATAGGATACACAGAGACACCTGCAGGTCTTCATGTAAAGTGCTCATTAAAACTGCCTGAACTAATGGTGAGCTGAAATAGCTTGACAACTTCCTTTCTGCAAAACTCTCGAATATTGAAATTAATGTAAATCTGTCCACCTGTTCTAAAGCTGTTTCACACATACAGAAGCGATGAGCAACACGTGCTCTACGAAGGTGTCTGCCAATACACCTAGCACGTGCATGGGTAAGACACAAACCAGACAACCCTTGCTCAGCTAAATGAGAATACACTGTACACAGGAAATCATTTCCCCCATTTCCTCCCTCACAAAGACAGCAGAAGAAACCAACCAAAGAAGGAACATCCATGAAAAGTCAATATATTATTTACTTTAGCATCCTAAACATAAGAAATTACAGATTCCAAACATTCAATCATTCTTGTGTGTAACAGATCACGTGAAAAAATGTTACATCCAGGTTACTGATGTATGTCAGTTTGACCAGCTCCATTATGAATGATTCTTTTAATTGCTGATTGTGAACAATACTCACCAGTTATGCGGTCAAAGAGGTCTCCTCCTGACAGAAACTCGAGGAAGATGTACTCGAGGTTTCCGTCGTGGCGGTGTCCGTAAAACCGGACGATGTTTGAATGGTTCACCATTCTGTGGATGAACACCTCTTTCTGTACGCTGCTTTGCGCACCTGAATTTTTCTCCAAGTCTATCACTTTCATGGCGACTTGCTCTCCCGAACCTCTGTGTGTCAGCAACTTTACTCTGTTATGGGCAAAAATATCAATGAAATTAAAGGTTTAATTCCTCTCCATCTTAAGGACAGAATGTGTAAGACAATCTGCTGCACTGTACACTGAAATCCTAATCAGTTTTTCTTTAAATTTCAGGCTCGTTAATAAAAAAGAGCACTCACTTTATTGCACAGATCTCTTATCCTACTCTCTATCGTGATTATTGAGAGGCAAAGCTATTCCTGGGCTTTAACTAATTAAGGGCCACACCATGAAGACATACGGAGGAGTGGAAGTATAGCCCCACTACTCTTAACCTTGGCTTTAGATGGAAGTGAGTGGTCAGCTTCATGCCCCAGTTGCTTTACCACCAGATACCCACTGCATAGGATGATGGGTAGGCCTCAGAGCCAGTCTCGACAATCCAGAAAAAAAAAAAAAAAAAATCTCTCGCACATGCCAGGAACTAAACACTAACTCCACAGCCATCCAGCCCATAGCCCAGTCGCTATACCAACTGAGCATCCAGTTCCTATTATGATTATTACGGTTATTTTATTTTCTGGAAGCATGTTACTTAAGTACAGATATTTTATGCATTAAGTCTGACAACTATAACCTTTAAGTCTCACGTTGATATTGTATTTTTATAACTGTTGACTTACAAACAGTCCTTAATTGATGTATATTTATGGTTTTGCACCATGCCAAATTTCAGGGCCAGGCCCAGCTCCAGAGCTTTTCCTGTTGTATTTTTCAGTTATAAATCTTGGACCTCAGGATTGTAAATACATACATCATAAGCACAGCAACGCTATGTGAGTTTTGGACAAAATATTATGTCTGAGGTTTGAAAATTAAGAATGAACATATTTACTAAATATATGTATGCCTGATATTTAATCACATCTGCCATAAGAGTAAGCAATGCAGTGTGCTGGGAAAAGAAATTTCCAACCTCGTCTACATCACCTACAAACTTTTTCTCAAATATTTCCATACAGGAGCTAAATGGGTTGACATAGCTGTAACGCTCATAACCTGTGGTCTCAGGTTGTCAACTCAAATCTTAACCAGGGAATCAGATATCCTGCCATGGTTTCTGTGTTCTTTTTCTGTCCCTCCAGGCAAATTCTGCGATTGTACCTCATTTGGGCCACTACTGCTTCCTTCCTAATCCTTTCCTGATTACTGCTCGTACCCATTCAATCGGCGCTTTCTGTCTAGCTACTTTAAGTGTTATGAAATACACAGGGCAAATAGTGTTTCTCACACTTTCTGTATAAAAGCCATTCAACATCAGTTCCATATAACATGTTTATAAACACTAAATAATGCACTTCCACTGTTTTCCCCAGTGCGAAAGTCAAGGAAACGTGAATCCAGACATCTACTTCCCCATATGCCTTCAGGGTATAGTGCTTAATTAGGTCCTCACAGGGATAACTTTACCTATAAAAGTATCACTATTTTTAATGTACACTGCAACACAACCACAAAAGGATATTATTGAACTTCTGGAGCATACAGTAAATAATTAGTTATAGAATTTGTTTAGCTTTGTACTGTCTTTCTGTTTGCTTGTTTGTTTGTTTGTTTGTTATGCTTGTGACCAGTTTCATGTCCATTGTATTTTGCATTTGTGAAATGTGAAATATATGTATGTATGTGTATTAAAATTGACTTCAATTTTCAAAGCAAAGTATAGCTACAATGAATTGCAATGTCATGGTACAAATACGTACGCCGGATAGCTCAAATTCAGGTCATGGAATATAAACATGACACATGAAATATTCCTCTTCAAATCTGTCAGTTATAACTGTGAAAGTTTCCTGAGTCCATGGCAGATTTTCTCACTGGCTTAACTGTAAATACAACCCCAACTCCCTCAGTAATATTATATACGTACATTTCCCAAGATTGGTGTAGTGAGTTTATTTAAATGTTATACACCATGCACTGTCTTAACATATGCTTTCATAGTTACATGGGCTTAAGTGCGACACCAGTATGCCCTAGTGTGTGCTTATGACTATATCGGATGT